ACACGGGGGAGCTCCCCAAACCCCTGATCGGCCCTGCTCTGTGTGTGACAGGGTACAGAGCCCCAAACCCCTGATGGGCCCTGCTCTGTGCATGACAGGGGGCAGTGCCCCAACCCTATGATCAGCTGGCTCTGTATGTAACAGGGGTGGCACCACAACCCCCTGATCCGTCCTGCTCTGTGCATGACAGGGGGTGGCGCCACAACCTCCCCATCGACCCTGCCTTGAGTGTGACAGGGGGCGGCGCCCCAACCCCCAATTGGCCCTACCCTGAGCGTGACTGGGGGTGGCATCACAACCTCCCGATCCGCCCTGCTCTGTGCATGACAGACGGAGGCACGCCACCTCCCCAATCGGCCCTGCTCTGAGCCCGACCAGGGGCTGTGGGGCAGGCACCTAGGGATTGGGCCTGCCCTCTGCCACCCGGGAGCAGGCCTAAGCCAGCAGGTCGTTATCTCCCGAGGGGTCCCAGACTGTGAGAGGGCACAAGTGGGACTGAGGGACATCCCCCCACCCCCACCAGTGCACATATTTTTGTGCACCGGGCCTCTACTATATATATAAGGCTAATATGCAAAGTGTCCCCTCGGGAGTTCCACCAGGAGACTGGGAGTTCACTTGCTCACTATGACGTGCGCTGACCATCAGGGGGTGGCGCAGAACATGGCAGGTGACCAGCGGTGCTGGTGTGGCGCTGAGGGATCGAAGCAGGAGGTGGGGAACCGCACCAGTGGTGGTGCAGGTGGCAGGGGAGGAGGAGGCGGGTAGGCGGGGAACCTGATTGGCCCTGATCATCGGCCAGGGCTAGGGACCTACCCGTGCACGAATTTCGTGCATTGGGCCTCTAGTTGTATGATACACAATTGGGAGACTAGGTTTATCATAAGAGAAACCAATAAATGTCAGCCTGAGAACCACACTGCAAGTGACCATTTGGGGTACTTCTAGCTCCAAACACAGCTCTGAAACTCGGGGCCCTCTGTGTAATGTAAAGGTGCTTACAATCCTATAACCTGGATATCCAGACCCAAGAATTCCCTGTGACATTCATCATAAGGACTCCAGAGAAGCAGGCAACTTTCCCAAGTAGACATCTACTTCCCAAGAGTTTATGGATCAAGAAGATAACTTCAGGGGTAGACCACTTTCTCCAAAGACCTTCTAATCCCTGACCTGACAACTAAGTTATATTTAGACTTTCATCTCGTTTTGTTTACATTCTGGGTCTGAAAATTCTGCCAGGGTCTGAATTCTTTGTGGGCATAGTTCTGCTTGTTATCTGTGCTGACTCTGCTCAGGGTGTTCTTGTAAGGTTGTGATTTATTGCTGGAAGGTCACATTCACTAGAACTTGGTAGGATCTCTGAGGCTTGTGTTGGAGGAGCCTTCCTCCAGGGAGGACTGGTTCACTTCTACCGGCATCTAGTACTACAAGCCTAGATAAGTGCTAAATTTGCAGTGTGTCGTCTTTTTTCTTTCTTTTTTTAAAATATATTTTTATTGATTTTTTTTACAGAGAGGAAGGGAGAGGGATAGAGTTAGAAACATCAATGAGAGAGAAACACCCATCAGCTGCCTCCTGCACACTCCCCACTGGGGATGTGCCCGCAACCAAGGTACATGCCCTGACCAGAATCGAACCCGGGACCCTTGAGTCCACAGGCCAATGCTCTATCCACTGAGCCACACCGGTCAGGGCGCAGTGTGTAGTCTTTATAGGCATGCAGATGGTATGAACTTAGGGTACAAGATGGCATATTCTCAGAGGAGACTTTCTTGCCTCCAACCAGAACCAAGACAAGGCAGACAAGTTTTTCTGCTCTGCTTTCTCAGGTAAAATTATTTTCTAATTTGCCCTTTCTCTGAGGGTAAAACTCTTTGTAGTTCTAAGAGTCTCCAATCCAACTCCCACTTGAGCCCAAAGCTTTGCTCCTGGCCCCTGTCGCCTTCTTAAAACAAGAACTCCAGGCCACCTGAGATTAGCAAATGCTCCCAGGGCCCTCGATGGCCTCAGCATTTGCTTACCTCCCTGAATGTATGCTCATTTTGTTCTGGCCTCAGAGGATTTCCTTTTCCAAGTTCAGGCACATGTTTTAAAAGGTGTTCTTGTTTAACATTCTTAGATATGTCAGAGCAAAATAATTTCTAAAATTTAGTCTGTCACATTGCCAAAAATGTCTATAAATTCTCTCTTCCTGGATATCTCAAATACAAAAAGCTGGTAGTGACCTCTCTACTATCATCTCTAATTTTCCTTTAAAATTTAATGACACTACTTCTCACCTATTTATGACTCTCTCTCTCTCTCTCTCTCTCTCTCTATATATATATATATATATATATACACACATATATATGAAATTTGAACATACCTCCCCTCCTCTTTTAATCTTTCACACAATCTTATTGACTCTAAGTTCTAAATATCTCTTGCGTTTGTTCTCTTCTTCATTCTGGCTATTATTCCTTCAGGATTCATCATTTCTTTTCTGGATCACTGAAACAATGTTTCCATGCTTGCCTCCTTCAAATCCATACTTCACACAGCCCAGCATAACCTATTTAAAATAAACATCTGACCATGTTATTTGCATAATTAGCAATCTTCAGTGACTCCTCATTGCCATGAAAATAGTCTCCATTACTTATCATGGCATATAAGGTCCTCTACAATCAGCCCTTTCTATGCCGCACTCATACCAAACTATGTGCAATCTTCTGCTTGACCTAGCATACTCCAGTCAGCCTCACACCTCACCCCAGCTTCCTTGGCCAACTGTCAGCTCCTTATCTTTCAGAACCCAGGTCAAGACTCCTCTCTTCCAGGAAACTTGCAAGCAAATCCTACGCCACCCTTTGTGACATCACTGATTGATGTGCTTAACTATTATTGCACTTACCACACTGAATTGCAATCATATACCTGCTGTTCCAATTAGACTTTAAATTCCTTTTAAAGGCCAAGAAGTTATTATCGCCACCCACGATACTTAGGCACAGCGCCAATTACATGAGGTACTTAATACCTATCAATGAATGGATGTTTATGACTCCCACAAGAGTTTATAAAATTGCCACTATCAAAGTCCAAGCCCTTCTTTTTGCCTCTATCCTCTTTCAAGTCCTTCTGCCTCCAGTTTAACAACCTTCCTAATATCACCTAAATTCTTTCTGATGCACAATTCTGATCATGCCCTGCTCAACCTCAGAAGCCTCCCACTGCTGTTCGCTCCTTCCTGCCTTACTTTCCCTGCTGCTCTAGCAGCTCACAGCAAACCACTGTTTTTCCAAAGTGACAGCTCAGCTCTATCCTAATTACAAAAACAATAAGGAGAGTCAGACAGCACCCAGCCAGCCTCCACTTAACTGTCTCAGTCACCATCTGATGAAGCTTATTAGCATTAGCCATCCTTCCAAATCCCAACTAGGATCTGAAGGTACTGGTGATAGCTATAGCATTCCCATATTACCCAGTGACAGCCTTCCCTATTTGGACTACAGGAAAAACTCTACTTCATCACTCAGTTTTACGGCAATGGTGTACTGAGGGCTGCTGTGAGGGGATGAATAACACCACTGTCTAGAGAATTTTAAAACAATAATGAAATTGACTAAGGGTGAGTCTACTTTTTATTCACCACCACAAAACAGCAATTCTAAATGTCAGTAATAAAATTCTCCCCCCTGCCAGGGAGGCCTGGCCCAGCACCACCACTCCTTAGTAAACCACTGCTATTCAGGCACCATTCCCTTTTGAAACCTTTAACCCATGTAAAACTGAATTAAGCACCTTTTCCTAAACCCTTAATGCACATCTGAATCTCCTGCAAGGCCATATAGCATGTTAAGGGGAGCTTATCTTTACTAGTAACCAGTATGGACATTGGTGAACACACGCCCCCTTCTGGCCAGCTTCCCATCAACAGTTGGCCTCAGCTGCCCAGTAAGGTCCTTCATAAGTGAAACGAGCCAAGTCCCAGTCCCTCTATGCTGCTAGGAGAAACTAACTAACCATCGTGCCTTATACTCATCCTGCAGACCAGGCTAACAGCATACAGAATATAATTTGAATTCCAAAGGCTGATATTCACAAAACACCATAATCTGGATCTAATTCTAATTCCTTCTAATACTCTCCTCATACCAAACTACTTATACTCAGTATATTTCTGCCTATTACGTCTTTTTGTGTTACAGTGCTTTGTGTCCGATTTACCTAACTGCTAAGCCCCAGAAGGAAATTTAAAGACTCAATCCTGTTTTATTGCTATAGATGCAATGGACACTCGGTTCTAATAAATAAAACTAAGGACAGTTAATACATAAAAGAGCAAAATACATTTTTATTATTCAGAATTTTATTTTTTTAAAAAACTTTATTTTCACAGAATACATTTCACATTAAAGATTCTCACAGTGGGAAAAATAACACTTTATTATTTAAAGTTTTATATTTGTGGGTATTATTTTGGGACAAGTAAAATGAACATATTTGAGGAGTTAAGTCTCAATTTAGAACATGTAATACTTTGATACCTCTACAGGGGTACCTCTTCCCTGCATGGAACTTCTCTATATTCAGAAGTTCTCCAGGCTCTTTTACCCAGGCTTTAGAAATTAGTAATGTGAAATATTAGCATTTTCTACCTTTAAAGTTTCCCAAAGACATATAATCATCAGTGACTTGTATCAACTAAAAAAGGGGGGAAGTTTTCAAACATTAAGTGCTGCATAAGTTTCTGCAGTCTTTACGTATGAATTAATAGTTTTTCCTTTCTCCATAACTCCTAGGACAAATATAGCAGTTTGATTAGGTATTGAGAGTAATAAAGCTGAATTCCCTTTAAGAGTTTGGTAAATTATAATGCGAAAGCTTATATATAATGTTCAGTTACATTGTGAGTCTTGAGAAGCTGGAGGATAACCTCATTCACTCGCCAGAATGTGGAATTCTGTCTCACAATTTCTTGGATACAATTCCTCTCACACCTTTTCCATTAAATTCTAAAACTAGCCAGGTGATTAGGAGAAGAGATTTATCTCACCAGTGGACTTATCTGTTATTTCCTCCTTATTGTGAGATGAATGGCATGACAGAGCAGAGGCAAAGAGGTGTACAATCAATTTTCAAGGTAGGAAGTCAAGAAGGTCAGAGCTTCCACAACATGGCAACAGCTTTGCAGATGCCCACATCGTGATAGTTGAAATAACAAAGCCCAGCAAAGGTGAAAGCCGAGAGTGCCAAGAGGCCTGCCTTGGCAGCTTTCTGCAATGCATCCTTTTGAACATAGTCAGTAACAACTTGTCCAAGGCCCCTAAGGAAAAAAAATCACAGCACAAATGAAACATCACAAATGACACTAGAAGACCACACAGATAACGTGGTTGCAAAAAGACAATCAGGTTCAAAACACAACCAGTCAAAAACCAAAGTAAAGGAATCAAGTGTTTCCTAATAATATAATAAAGACATCTTCCTATTCTTCAGATTCAATTTTCCAGAGTTACTTATATCAGACAGTAATTAATTACTATCTACAAAATGTTGGTGTGTTTTTTTAAATTAAAGCAATGTTCTACAGTTTTTCATTAATTCAAAAAGAAGGTATTGAACAGATGTGATATGTCAGAACCTGTTATAGACATTGAGAGCACAGCAAATAAGACAGCATCCCTCCCCAAACGGAATATTCACTCTAGTGAAGGAGAAGGAAAGAGTACCTTTGTGCTGTGAAGTAATATTCTAGAAAGGATGACCTGAATGAGAAGAATAATCCAAGCAGAAGTGACAATGACCTTGGCATCTTTGAAGAACAGTAAAAAGGTTAGTATGGCTTGAAAATGGGGAGATTAGAAAGCGAAGACAGATCACATAGGGCCTTGAAGGTCATAAAAAAGTTTGAATTTTATTTGAAATACTAGAGGCCCAGTGCACAAAAATTTGTGCACTTGGGGTTAGAGGGGGGTCCCTCAGCCCGGCCTATGCCCTCTCACAGTCTGGGACCCCTCAGGGGATGACCACCTGCTGGCTTAGGCCCACTCCCCGGGGGGATTGGGCCTAAGATGGCAATCAGACATCCCTCTAGCAGCCCGGCAGCCCTCGGGGGATGTCCACTTGCCAGCAGGAAGCAGGCCTAAACTGCAGTTGGACATCCTTAGCGCTGCTGAGGAGGCATGAGAGGCTCCCACCACCACCGCTGTACTGGCAGCCATCAGCGGGGCTTGTGGCTGAGG